AGGAGGACATGGAATGGAGGAGGACATGTGATGGGGAGGCCCAGGAGAAGGCCGTGTGATAGGGGAGAGAATACTGAAAGAGGAGGATATGTGGTGGAGGAGGCCAGAAGGAGGGGGACATGTGTGATGTGTGAGATGAGACTGGAGGAGGATGACATGGGATGGAGTAGGAGGAGGACATGGAATGGAGGAGGACATGTGATGGGGAGGCCCAGGAGAAGGAGGACTTGTGATAGGGGAGATAATACTAAAAGAGGATATGTGGTGGAGGAGGCCAGAAGGAGGGGGACATGTGATGTGGGAGATGAGACTGGAAGAGAAGAATAGGTTTATATCAAAGGCAATGAGTACCCTTTTAAATGGATGTGTTATCTCAGGTACAGTGGCAGGGACAGTGGGTACCCCTCTACATGAATGGGTTATGTCAGGGACAGAGAGTACTGCCCTACATGATTGGGATATCTCAGGGACAGTAGGTACCCTTCTACATAAATAAGCTACATCAGGGACAGTGGCAGGGACAGTAAATACCCCTCTACATGGATGGGTTACATCAGGGACAGCAGGTGGCCCTCTACATAGATGGGTTATGTCCGGGACAGTAGATACCCATCTACACGGATGGGCTATGTCAGGGACAGTAGGTGCCCCTCTACAGGATGGGCAATGTCAGGGACAGTAGGTACCTCTCTGCACAGATGGGCTAAGTCAGGGACTGTAGGCATCCCTCTACACGGATGGGTTACGTCAGGGATAGTAGGCGCCCCTCTACACGAATGGGTTACGTCAGGGACGGTAGGCGCACCTCTACACGGATGGGTTACGTCTGGGACAGTAGGCACCCCTCTACACGGATGATTTACGTCAGGGACAGCAGGTGCCCCTCTACAGGGATGGGTTACATCAGAGACAGCAGTAGCCCCTCTACACGGATGGGTTATGTCAGGGACAGCAGGCGCCCCTCTACAGGGACGAGTTACATCAGGGACAATAGTCGCCCCTCTACACGGATGGGTTACGTCAGGGAGAGTAGGCGCCCCTCTACACGGACGGGTTATGTAAGGGACAGTAGGCGCCCCTCTGCATGGACGGGTTACGTCAGAGACAGTAGGCGCCCCTCTACACGGATGAGTTATGTCAAGGACAGTGGCAGGGACAGTAAATACCCTTCTACATGGATGGGTTACATCAGGGACAGCAGGTGGCCCTCTACATAGATGGGTTATGTCTGGGACAGTAGGTACCCCTCTACACGGATGGGCTATGTCAGGGACAGTAGGTACCCCTCTACATGGATGGGCAATGTCAGGGACAGTAGGTACCTCTCTACACAGATGGGCTAAGTCAGGGACAGTAGGCGCCCCTCTACACGAATGGGTTACGTCAGAGACGGTAGGCGCCCCTCTACACGGATGGGTTACGTCAGGGACAGTAGGCACCCCCTCTACACGGATGAGTTACGTCAGGGACAGCAGGCGCCCCTCTACAGGGATAGGTTACGTCAGGGACAGCAGGCGCCCCTCTACACGGATGGGTTATGTCAGGGACAGCAGGCGCCCCTCTACAGGGACGGGTTACGTCAGGGACAATAGGCGCCCCTCTACACGGATGGGTTATGTCAGGGACAGTAGGCGCCCCTCTACATGGACGGATTACGTCAGGGACAGCAGGAGCCCCTCTACACGGATGGGTTACGTCAGGGACAGTAGGCGCCCCTCTAGAGGCCTGGGTTACATCAGGGACAGTAGGCGCCCCTCTACACGGATGAGTTATGTCAAGTAGGGACAGTGGCAGGGACAGTAGGCGCCCCACTACACGGATGGGTTACGTCAGGGACAGTAGGTGCCTCTCTACAAGGATGGGTTATGTCAGGGACAGTAGGCGCCCCTCTACACGGATAGGTTAGGTCAGGGACAGTAGGCGCCCCTCTACACGGATGGGTTAGGTCAGGGACAGTAGGCGCCCCTCTACACGGATAGATTAGGTGAAGGGCAGTAGGCGCCCCTCTACACGGATAGGTTAGGTCAGGGACAGTAAGCGCCTCTCTACACGTATAGATTAGGTCAGGGACAGTAGGCGCCCCCTCTACACGGATAGGTTAGGTCAAGGACAGTAGGCGCCCCTCTACACGGATTTTTTTTTTTTTTTTTTTTTTTAAAGTCCGCAAACGTGGAACTGTAACGAAAAAACCCGTAAGTGTCCGCAAAAAAGTGCAAGTGCAGAAACACACACACGAAAAACGTGCACACTTAGGGGTGTGTTTGTCCTACCCCCGAAAGGGTTGGACCGTTCACCCGATCCCCCGGGGCACGAAGCTCCTGACAGGGACAAGGTTCCCATTTGGTCCTCCTGGCCAAAAGGCCTGGTGGACCACCGTTCCTTATGCCCAGCCGAAGCCGGACATCCAGTACTAGGCAAGGGGGTTCTCCCGAAAGAGAAAACCCCCTAGGGATCAGGGGAGGAAGGAACCGTATGGCCACACATCCTCCCCCTAGACTTCAGGTAAGGCCCGAGGACCCACACCCTCCATCCGTGAAAAAAAACACACACATAAGAAAGCAAAAAGTGACAAAACGTGGGAGTGGTTTAAATAAATATAAATAAAATAAAAAAGTGGTACCGTGCCTAATAGTGCACAGACCAGGCCCTGAGGCCTGTAGCAAAAATTGCCCTGGACTTAGCCAAAAGACCTGGTCCTTAGGGCGCTGTGCAAAAAGAGGGTGAAAAACAGTGGCCATGTGTCATCTTCACACCGTGGGGTCCCACACCCAAGTGTTACTAGTGACACCCCTGAGAGCGTCTTCCCCAGGGGGCACTGAGTTTTGCGGACTTTTTGCGTCCCCGACCCCAGGCCAGACCAAGGTAGCATGCTCAAACCAGGAGGAACTGGGTCTTTCCGGTCTCCCCAGAGGAATTACTCCCAAGGCCCCCAGAACGAATCATGGCGCTCCCTGGTTTCTGTCCCTCCGGTACTAGCCTTCCGGACCCCCATCATACCAGTGAGGGTACTGTACAACAACCATCCCCGTAAACTAGAATGGTCGGTAGCACCCCCACTGGACACTGATAAGAACAGATACTACACTTGATCTTAGCCAAAAGGCCGAGGCGCCCCTCTACACGGATAGGTTAGGTCAGGGACAGTAGGCGCCCCTCTACATGGATGGGTTAGGTCAGGGACAGTAGGCGCCCATCTACACGGATGGGTTAGGTCAGGGACAGTAGGCGCCCCTTTACACGGATAGGTTAGGTCAGGGACAGTAGGCGCCCCTCTACACGGATGGGTTAGGTCAGGGACAGTAGGCGCCCCTCTACACGGATGGGTTAGGTCAGGGACAGTAGGCGCCCTCTACACGGATGGGTTAGGTCAGGGACAGTAGGCGCCCCTCTACATGGATAGATTAGGTCAGGGACAGTAGGCGCCCATCTACACGGATGGGTTAGGTCAGGGACAGTAGGCGCCCCTCTACACGGATAGATTAGGTCAGGGAAAGTAGGCGCCCCTCTACACGGATAGGTTAGGGCAGGGACAGTAGGCGCCCACTACACGGATAGATTAGGTCAAGGACAGTAGGCGCCCCTCTCTGCACGGATGGGTTAGGTCAGGGACAGTAGGCGCCCCTCTACACGGATGGGTTAGGTCAGGGACAGTAGGCGCCCCTCTACACGGGTGGGCTAGGTCAGGGACAGTAGGCGCCCCTCTACACGGATGGGTTAGGTCAGGGACAGTAGGCGCCCCTCTGCACGGATGGGTTAGGTCAGGGACAGTAGGCGCCCCTCTACACGGGTGGGCTAGGTCAGGGACAGTAGGCGCCCCTCTACACGGGTGGGCTAGGTCAGGGACAGTAGGCGCCCCTCTACATGGGTGGGCTAGGTCAGGGACAGTAGGCGCCCCTCTACACGGGTGGGCTAGGTCAGGGACAGTAGGCGCCCCTCTACACGGATGGGTTAGGTCAGGGACAGTAGGCGCCCCTCTGCACGGATGGGTTAGGTCAGGGACAGTAGGCGCCCCTCTACACGGGTGGGCTAGGTCAGGGACAGTAGGCGCCCCTCTACACGGGTGGGCTAGGTCAGGGACAGTAGGCGCCCCTCTACACGGGTGGGCTAGGTCAGGGACAGTAGGCGCCCCTCTACACGGATGGGTTAGGTCAAGGACAGTAGGCGCCCCTCTACACGGGTGGGCTAGGTCAGGGACAGTAGGCGCCCCTCTACACGGATAGATTAGGTCAGGGACAGTAGGCGCCCCTCTACACGGGTGGGCTAGGTCAGGGACAGTAGGCGCCCCTCTACACGGGTGGGCTAGGTCAGGGACAGTAGGCGCCCCTCTACACGGGTGGGCTAGGTCAGGGACAGTAGGCGCCCCTCTACACGGATAGATTAGGTCAGGGACAGTAGGCGCCCCTCTACACGGATAGGTTAGGGCAGGGACAGTAGGCGCCCCTCTACACGGATAGGTTAGGTCAGGGACAGTAGGCGCCCCTCTATACGGATAGGTTAGGTCAGGGACAGTAGGCGCCCCTCTACACGGATGGGCTATCTCAGAGGGAAGTAGGAAGGAATGCAGACGTCCCTCCCCCTCCAGCTCGGCTCCTGTGTTCTCACACATACAGATGATTAATGAACCGAGCCGATCACTCAGGACTTTGCCCTCCAGTCTGTGCGGATTCTCCATCTTACCTAGGACTGAGTCACACGAGAAAAGGCGGAGCCCAGAGTCAATAAAAGTTGTCCGTGACCCTCCCAGTCACACCTCCTGTCAGTCCCACCTTCCCGGTGTCCGGCAGGGAGGAGACAGGTGCGGAGTGTAGGCAGAGAAGAAAAGGAACAGACAGACTGTGCTGGCTGCCGGAGTCCGCGTACATTCCCTGTCCCAGCTCACAGCCAGCCAGTCGGAGGGGACAGCCTGACTACTGTCATCGTGTACACCTGGGAGCACATTACCGACCTACCGACACCGCTACCTACCGCCCGGACTCTACTGCCCTTTACCGGTCCTTCCAATGGGACCACCCCGAGGATTTGTCACTATGTGCTGCTGCTGGTACCTGGCACTGCTGCTGGTGAGTGCCGCGACACTCCTGCTCTTCTCTATCATTGTTATGGGTTCTGTGTTTACTCGGTCAGTGTAGAAAACAAAGGTATCTCCTTGTAACAATCACACACTAGAGCCGTTATTGTCCCCGTGTGTGCAGAGGGTGTACTTCCTATATAGAAATGTTCTTTTCTGTGTGTCTGTACACACACACTTCTATTTGTTCTCCTAGAACTCTAGATGGAAGGTTTCATTGGCCTCTCCCTATGAAGTTCAGTAGAAGGTATGCTCTGCAGCCTAGTGGCTGAGCAGGGAAATCCGAACAGAAGGAAACTCCTTTGTTCATATAACCTGGGTCCCTCGGCAGAGTTTGTCTGATCAGACGTGGCTGGAGCTTTCCTTGACAGCTGAGCTAACCCTTTGCCTAGGAGTCAGTTGTGATGATATGCTCGCGTTTTCTTTTCTTTTTTTACACCATAGATATTTCACTTGTTCCTAAATATTTGAATTATGAGAAGCTGATTACAAGGCAAATCTTGGGGTGTCAGGCTATGCTAAAGGGACACTGGGGTGTTAGGCTACAAATATTAGTAAGTAAGCTGGTCCCAGCAAATGTCAAATATTTTTCCTTCGAGTTTATTTCAGGTACTTATATAGCGCCGTCAATTTACGCAGCGCTTTACATATATATATATTGTACATTCACATCAGTCCCTAACCCTCCAGGGGCATACAATCTAAGGTCCCTAACTTACATTCATACATACACATACTAGGGACAATTTAGACAGGAGCCAGTTAACCTATCAGCATGTCTTTGGGGTGTGGGAGGAAACCAGAGTACCTGGAGGAAACCCGCACAGGGAGAACATGCAAAATCCAGGCAGGTGGTGCCGTGGTTTGGATTCGAACCAATGTTGGGACACAGTAGAGGAACATTTTGGTGTCGGGCTGCGCCAGAGGGACGCTGGGGTGTCGGGCTGCGCCAGAGGGACGCTTTCACGTTTGGCTACGCCAGAGGGACGCTGGGGTGTCAGGCTGCGCCAGAGGGACGCTTTCACGTTGGGCTACGCTAGAGGGACGCTTGGGTGTCGGGCAACAATTAGCAGTAAGTAAGCTAGTCCCAGCAAATGTCAAAACATAGTTCTTCCCTGGAGTTCAGCATTAACATTTTTGTTGTAGTTATTACAATTACTATTTTTTTTTTTTTTTTTTTTTGTAATTTCTAATCAGCACTGGTTTAGTGTCAAGCTAAAATGCTTTAGACTGGCATCCAGCATATACGAACAGTACCCTAGTATTGTCTGGTAGATGTTACAGTGATTCTTTAGTGGACTGACTGACTGTCAGGACTTTAATTTCAAATACAAATCTACAAAATCTTTTTGCATGCCTTGATTGCTCTAGAAATGAGACATTTATTAAAGGTACTTGTATAGGACCAACAATTTACATATATATTGTACATTCACATCAGTCCCTGATTTCAATGGCCTTACATTCTAAAGCCCCTAAAGCAGGCCATAGATTGTGCAGTTTTGTTTACCACAAGTTTGAGGAAAGGACATAATTTACATAGTCTGTCTGAAAACAGACAAAAGTCCATTTAGTTCAAGGATAAAAGAAAAATGTAAGAAAAAAAGTTATTCTATACCCAGAGTTGATCCAGAAGATTCCTCCATCAACACAGTCCCCCAGTGCTATTGTGTTCTGCCAGCAGCACTAGTCATTTGGGAAAAACTCAACAGGCTGGTTATACACAAGTCGATCGATAGATTAACTTGTGTACAACCAAAGTGCCCATACATGATCAGAATTCATCCAGTCCCTGCTGAACCAGACAACTTCAGATCCTGCATGGCCAGCTTTACTCACATTTATACACATATTAGGGCCAATTTAGACAGGAGCCAGTTAACCTGCAACCACGTATTTGAGGAGCATGTGTAGGAGGAAATCTGAGTACCTGGTGGAAATCCACACAGGCACAAGGGGAACATGCAAACTCCAGGCAGGTTGTGCCATGGTTGGGGTTTGAACTGACGACTCTAGTGCTGTCAGGCAGAAGTGCTAACCACTGTGTTGCTCTTGCTGAATTGAGCTGTAAACCCTAAATACATTTTTCATTTGTGTATTCTTGCATTGTTTTTTTCTATGGGGCCTTTTATTTTATTAAATGCATGTTTACATATGCTGATCTGTTAAAACCTTAACTCCCAAGTGTTTGACGCTTGTAAAAGCATTAGATACTTTTACAAAAGTCGGGTGTTTTTTCTGCAAAAACGCTGCTGCAAAGAGGAAGGCTTCTAGGAGAGTTTTTAATGTCCTGTGTGCATGAGGCCTAATACTGGCAGACGTTCTCTCGTACTTTCACATTGATCAGGCCTTGTACTTGTGTACCAGTGAACGCAGGTTTGATTATGCCAGTGCTGTGAATGATTCTGCCTCAGCTTTTATTCAGGCCTGCAATGATTATATTGTTACTGGAAATAAAACCTCACTTTTGTTCAGTGTTAGGCAAGGTGTACATGCAAAGAGCAATCCCTTTACAAATGTATGACTTCTGAAAACAATACTAGTTAGATATTATAACTACATTTGTAATGCATATAAGGCCCCATTCACACTTGAGTGTCTTTGGTTGTTTCTTGGGCTTAAGTGTTTAATTTTTAGCTACAGTAAAGCTAGCTGCTAATCAAGGAACTGCATGGAAACTCATGCATTACATGCGATTTTGGGGTATTTCATAGAAGTCTATTGGGGTCAAAACCCCTGACTTTGCCCCAAAAGAAGCATATGTGTTTTTGGTTTTTTTTAAATTGTTGAAATTCAAGCAACACCATGCTTTGCTATGAGCAGGCACTGCTTAACATAATGGCAATCCTAGTATCAAGCATTGAACCACTTCTGGTGGAGATCTAAATCGTGCTACTGTAGGTGTGAATGGGCCCAAAATCAACAAAGTAAATTATCAAGAGGAAATCTTCAAATGTTGTTTTATTAGATTATTCTGCAGTTGTTACTAATAAAAACTGAATGATTATAATATATATATATGTTCTGCGCTATTTTACACTGAAGTGTGTTTTAGTGTTTAATGAGAAGTTAATAATGCAACCTTATTAATATCTGTAAAAAATTGCATTTTCTAGGCATTTGGTTGTTTTAAATTTTTTTTTTTTGGGTTCATTAAATGCAGCTTTGCAGATTGAGAAGTTTTGTGGTTCACTAACCATTAATAATTCAGAGGTAGCCCATTAGCAGTTTAGGGATTCCCGTATTGGGGTTGATGCACTTTGTGTTTTCACAATGTTTTGCGCTCGAGAGAAGGTAATGTACAGAGATTCACTTCGTAATTTCAGTTGGTTCAAGTAATATACGCAGCTTTTGTGTAGGTAAAATACATGCTTCTGGGCAGATTCATCTGTGAATTGCTATTAAGGGGTGTTAAAAAAAAAAAAAAAAAAACATTTTTGTTTCTGGAGTGAAGGTATAATGTTTTAAATGGGGACTTGCAGACAACTGCAATCAGATTCATAGCCAAAAATAAAAAAAATTCTGAGGATATGCCTTTTACACGGTTAGGAATGTATACGCATATTCATAGGTGTGAAAAGTGCGCTCTATTACGGAGTAGAGTGCATTCGAAACTTGTGCTGGTTCTGCATCATTGACTCAAGTATTTGTAGTGTTTAACTTTGCTAAAAGTTTAGTGGTAAGGCTTTCATTGAAAAAAAGATGCTGTATGTCTCTTACAGTAAATGCTTGTCAGCAAGTGTTGTACAGTGAACTACACATGCGCATGTCCATGTATAGTCTTGACATTCCATGGTGCTGGGATGAATGAGTTGTGTCATCCAAGGCCAATCAATTCAGATGGCCTGAAACTGCCAAATCCAGAAGAAGCCCAGGTAGTGATGGAAGTGTAGTCGGCAAGGGAAAGCAAGATTGAAGGAAGCATTTATTTTTGGTGCATATTTAAAAAGCAGGGTGGATAAAAATTGAGTATTTCTTAAAAAATCTGTTTGTGTTTTTTTTTTTAAATTGGACGTTTTGATTTTTTTATCACATTTTAATGCTTTTGGAGTAAGAAATCTATCTAAAAGAGTTTTTTTTTTTTTTTTTTTCTATTTAAGATACATTAATAATTTATTAAGCATGAAATGGAGCTTAGTTATAAAGCATGAGGCTTTATATTCTGCAATATTTACATTGTTGGTAAACTCATTCAATGAATCCAAGCCGAGATAACATGCACTGCATTGATGTGTTCACACAAGTTCACAGTAACCATGAGAAAAAAACATGAAATAAAAGAATTTGAGTAGTTCTCCAGCTATGTATGATTAACCTAAAATCTGTTCTGATATCGCTGTTTTACTAACCTGGCCACTTATTCTAAAAAGGAAACCTTCATTTATTTTGCAAATATTAAAGATTCTAACTACCACCAAGAATGAGTCAGATTCCTTACATTTAAAGAGCACCTGTCATTTTAAATCCATCATGGCAGCATCTGTTAGCGGGCATCCACTCACCTGCTGCCGCCACGTCCCTCACCTTGTTGTCACTGCCGCATCACTAGCTGTCCAATTAAAGTGAGTCAACAGCGGGTCAGAGGAGCAGCCGCTGTAAGACAGATGACAGTTGCTCTTTAAAAATGATTTAAATCAAGCCTTTTTGCAGTAATTTAAATCAAATCCACCCTGTTAAAAAGCGCACCAAAAATGCACCTTCTCATTGAAATGAATGGAAAACACTTTAAAAATACACCCTCGGTGCGTTTTCAAGTCATATGTCCCAAGTTTCATTCACAGGCACATGCTGGGAGGCTGCAATCCAGAAAACGCACCGACAAATGCTTTAAAATCACAATATGCATTTTTGAAAAAAGCATACCACGTGTGAAAGGGCCCCTAAATAGTAGCTTGCTTTGTTGTACTACAGGGACTGGCAGAGCATATTCGGTTTTAGTCTCCTATGGCTTGAAGAAAACCATTTGCTTCCACACTATATGGCGAAATGCTT